TCGAAAGAGCTGATAAGGTACTTTTTTATTGCATACAGCTAATTATTGTGCTATCTTTATACTTTTGGCCAATGATTTTTTCGCATGAGGAAGCATCATAATGTTTCATGGTTCGAACTAATTTTGCATTTATGTATTTTATGATTTGAAAATTTTTTTTTGTGTGTGAAATGATGCTGCATACTGCAACGTTAAAACACTTGGGATCATAATTTGACTTTTTTATTGAGACATTTAAAAATCCCCTTTGAAAGCTTCTCTATCCAAGTGGGTTATGTTTACAGTATTTGAATATGGTGCGCGTAATGGATGGTTACAATAAAATTGTTTTTCCTCATTGTGGTTGTGGCAATCGTAAAGATGGTGATGTTATATTAGAAGTTGGGTTTTCTCAGCTGGTTATACGAGCATGTGATTACGAGGGTAATCTGCAGGTCTGATTTTTTGTTTAATTATTTTCGCTCTGAAATCATTTTACAATTCAGGAGAGTAACGCAAAGTTGTATTTCAAATGTCATTTCTGAATAATGTGAATAACATTCAGGAAGAAGAACTTGTATTCGACTGGACCGACATTTTGGAATACAAAGTTGTCGATAATGGTGCTACATTTTCATTTGAATACGCTCGTTCACAAAAGAAGCCGAAATCAGTCAAATTAAGCACTCAGTTTGTGAGTATTTATTTTTCAACACTGTAGTTAAACTTTTCTAATCTTAATGAACTTTCGAATTTTGCAGTTTAGATGATATCAAAACCTATAACAAATTAAATTTTTTTCTCATATTTCTATGCGAGAGTATACAACAATGCTTGACCTTTACTGTAAACGCTTCGATGTAATCATGTGATTACGAATCTTCCTGAGAATTAACGTGCGTGTTTCCTAATGGTAGAAAAGTAGCAAATCACTGAGTTGGGTATGTAGATGTTTTGAAGCATCTCCAATCTATCTGTTATTATGTTACTTTATAAGTATATTCAAGTTTGTCTGTTGGTAAAGGTTTGTTGCAGGCGGTGTATATGAATTTTTGCTTTTCACGAATACTCGAGGAACGTGAAAGACGCGCTGGAATGAATTTTTTAAAACAGAACTGTTAAACCCTTTGGTTCTAAAGAATTTCAAAATTAGGTTGTCTTGCCAAACTTTAGATTTTCAAATGCAATAATTATTAGCATCAAGATCTTATTCGAACCATCATTTTTGTTATGTGTACTTATTTTTGTTTAATTTTGCATAAGTATGGAAACAGAAGTTGAATTGGAAGCTTGCAGTTATGGATGTGAAAGTGCAAAAGAAAGACTTAGGATTTTGGGAGACATAGCAGACTGAAAGAGATTTTATTAGAAGGGCGTTGCGAGGTTCAATGGTTACAATATTATGGTCTAATTCTTAGGAATTACCTTAACTAAGTTGGATTTTACACATAATAATGATGTATTTAGATTTTTTTTGTCTAGAAGAATGAGAAACTCAAAACAATTTTATTATTAATTGAGTTAAACTTTTTAAATTCTAAGCGGAAGTCAATTATTGTTACATTTCCACTGTTTAAAGTGTTATCAGTTTTATTCAGTACGTGAAAACTTTGCATGAAGAAATTATTAAGTCGGGTAAAATTCAAGTATCTTGTTCACTTGTTCCATTATCCTACTTTATGCCTCCATTCTGAAATATTTCACAGAATGAGATTTAGTATTATTTCTTTCTTTCTTTTTTTATCTGAATACTTCTAATTTTTGAAATCACTGCTACGAAGTTTTAATTGTTAAATCTGTTGAATACAACTTTTATCATCACTCACAGATAGATATCACACTGTTCCAATGTCATTTTTGAGACATTTTATTTTAACAATATTTTCCATCATACTGTTTAGAGATGTTATAATAAGTTTCCCTCACTGTATATTGACGATTTTCGTTATGTCTGGATATTATTTACTGTGAACCACTTGTAAAACTCTCCATCATTCATAATTCAGAATTTTTTTTGATAATTCTTTTCTATTGGTAGAATTATTTTCGAAATTGTGCATTTTTTGTTCAATTATAACAAATTTTAAATACCCGCTTTTGTTTTGTTTTATTATGCAGTGAAGTTATTGTTTCAACTTATCGGGTTTTGTCATTTTCTGTTGTTAGATTACTGATTATTTGCTGGTGATAATAAATCACATAATCTGCCATTGCTGTTCAATTTTTCTTTTATTCTTTTTCTACGCTCAGATGCTAAATATTTTTTTATACTTCTATATTTGCATAATTGATTCCAACGTCTCTTCTTCTGTGCTTTCAATTGTTCCCAAAGTTTCTTTTTGATTATTTATACACACACTGTTTATTTTTATTTTTGTCTCTCACTATCTTTATAAATCGGTCAAGCATTGTTTTGCAGTTTTTTAAAAATTTCCTTATGATACTTTTTACTTCCACGTCATTCTTTTAGTTTATACTAAGATTTTTTCAGTGCATGACAGTACTATTTTCCAAAACTATTCGTATGAGAGGAGGTGGAAAAATCTAATGGGTGGCCTTTACTTTGCTTCTAGATTTGATCTTAAGAATTCAAATGAATCATGCAAAATAATATATACTCTTGCATCATATTATTTGCTTGAATGAAGCATGTTCGAATAATTTATTTGTACATCCATTTATATAATAAGAAGTTTTTACGGATTAGATATATTTCAAGCAAAAAGTGAGGTTTAATTTTTCCCCATTCTGTATCTCTAATTTTTCCTACAGGCTTTATTATGAGTTGAGGAATTAATCTTTTGATTTTACTGTTGACCATCGTAATTTGCTGAATAATGATGTGAATTGTAAGATTTTGCAGTTTGAAGTTATGGAATTTTGAAAACTCAAAAGCAACTTACAAGTGAATGTCGCTTGACGATTTGAGTGCAGCACAGCCAACGCAGCAGTTTCCGCTATGTGATTTGGAATCATCTGATGACGGCTCTTCGTCGGTGATAAGTGAACCTGAAAAACGACAAGGTATTAATTTAGTCATGTTGTATAGTATAATCTTTAGTGCTCGGTGTGGATATGGTACAATCAAACATTTCTGATAAGGATCCTCATTCTGAAATATCCTATTCAATCAATATTTTCTAGTTTATTTTAGATTACTTATCGATACTCTTTAATTGTCAAAGCATACTTTGCTGTCTATTGAAATGAAAACCAAAATATTGGAATTTATATGTTGTATATAGTATATTTAGAACTAATGGAATCTCCGTAAATCATGCGGAAATCATACCTATCACTTTATTTCTTCTCGTACTAGGTGGTTTTGAGAAACAAACTAGCTATAATTCAGTCCGATTTCAATTACATCAGTTATGACTATATTGTGAAACTATAATTATAGGGTGGAAAAATTAGTTGAGTAACTTTGGGAATGTACTTCAAATATAGTTTAGGCTTTGAGTTATCCGTTTCACCAAATACAAATATTTAATCTCCTTCACAAACACGTTTACTTTCATGTTCTGGACGGCGTCGAACACTAGGAGCCAAACAGCGACAGGGCTCGTCAGCATCATTGATACAAATTTCTTTAGCTGCTGGTAGTAATGGGTCACAGCGTGCGCACAGCTCGCCGCTGCCAGCTTATCCAGTGAGCATACGTCAGCAGCTGGCTATCATAAAACAGGTTTAACTACGCAATTATTTTTTTTGTGAGGCATTCATATCTTTTTTCATGTTTTGTTAAAAAATGGAAAATTTATAAGATCAACTTTTATAATAAGAACATTATAATTTTGAAAGCTTATGTGAATCTCATCATTTAATTCAAAAAAAAAAATGTGAAATGTACATTAGAATGAAATTAGTAACAAAAGTGCAACTTTGAAGTAAGAGAAAGTGTCTGTATCTGTCATGATAAATGGATTTCTGGAAAATTGTGAATTATGAAGTGTTCATTATACTGAGTCTATCTAGTTCTTTGGTATATCACTTTAGTTTTTGATGTATTGTTACGATTAAAAACTGCCCAAGCGTTGCTTCATAATAACGTTTATAAATTGCATATTCTAAAAGAATATTTACTTTCTCTTCTAGTTTTTAGCGTTGGGTTGAAAATGTTTACATAAGTTATGGCTTGATTTATGGTACTTGTTGGTTTTAGCATTTTTGCGAACTGTTAATATTATCATTAACTTTATAGCTACTGAAATAATGATGCATTAATGTAGAAAATTACAAGTTTTCCCCATCCAATAACAAAAGGCCAATGTAATCAATTTCACAAAGCCTTGCAGCTGTTTGTCAACTCTCTCAGACGACTATTTTTCAGTGCCATTTTCAGTTAAAATCTTATTAGCAGATTCAGCAAAACAATGTGTAGTTGTACAGACTGACATAACTCACTGTTCATTCAATTTGCAGAATGATAGAAAATGTGGCTAATGCCTTCATCTGTATTTCGATTAGTGTGACTAGCTGTTGCTGTGATACCAACTGTTGCCAAACTCATATAACTTCCTTCTTTACCCTTCATTCTCTGCATCCTCTTCCGCCTTTCACTGTCTTTCTCATCACTGCATTCTTTCTTTTTTCGATTTTTTCCCAGCCGATCAAATTCTTTAACTTTTTCATCTTCATCATCGATCATTTATGAATTTGCTATAGCTTACAAATGTTTAATGTCCACAAAATCTTTCACTAGAAAATACATTGGGGAAAAAGAAGAGGGCAAATTAAAGAGATTATGAGCAGGTTATGAAGATGATAAGTATTACGCACTCTCTAACAATCTTACGTAGAGTCAGTCTTTTTCTAAACGGTTTTGTTAATTAAACCTAGTAAATATAAAGATATTTTTATAAAGCTCGAAGAGTCGATAAGTATACCCTTATTATTTTCCTCTTCGGAAAATTGCTTGTTGGTGACATTTTCCTTTTTCTTTTCAGTTTGCTCCTAATTCTATTGCTATCATTTTAACTCCTTAATTTTGAGTAATAAATTCTTATTATGTTTGAGTTTAATCTTGCGGATGAAAAAAATAAAGAAGTCATCTTGCTACACTTTGTTTTCTATTTTGTAATTACATTTGCTAAATAAATAGTACTTCGGTGAATTGAATTGTCCGACTTTTTTAAGAGTTTCTCTTAATATTTAACTTCCATCTCTTCCTTTGAAAGAATAAACTATGAATTTGAAAGATGCACTGTTTTAATCCCCCTAAATAGTCTCGATATGAAAATAGAAATTTGTTGCATTATAAAAAGATCATAAAATCTTAATAGAAAAAAATGGAATTGCAAAACTATTCTTTTTTGTATGAAATATTATGAATAAATGAGTTTTATTATATTTTTTATTGCTTTCTGAGATGGAGCAGCCAATGCAAGTAGCAGCGGATTCGTCTTCAATCGGCTCTCAATTACCTCAGTCAAACAGTGCGTCACCTGGTTTATCAAGAAAACGTATTTCGAAGGTATCTTGTTTTATACACTTTATGTTGTCTTTGAACCGATAGCGGTGAATTCATCACTCATATTTATTGCAACATTTTAAAGGTTCTAAGAAAGAATGAGCGTGGAGAGACAGCACTGCACGTAGCAGCGCGTAAGGGAGAACACCGATTGTGCAAGAAGTTAATCGAGGAAGGAGCACTTATCAATGCTCGGGATTATGCTGGTTGGACTCCCTTACATGAAGCATGTTATCATGGACATTTCAAAGTTGCTAAACTTCTTCTCGGGTATACTAGTTTTTCAGTATGGATGTTTTCCACAGCCCATCAAAATGAACTAATTTTAGCAATTTTCAGCTACGATGCAGATGTTAATGCGTTGTCCGACTGTGATGATACTCCCCTACATGATGCTGTCACGAGTGGAAACGAAAAGGTAAATTTTAATTTGTATAATTTCTAGTTGAAATTTTTTGTATTTTTCTGCTTAAACATCTCTTTTCATTGCATTTTTTTTCTTGTTTTTCAATAATAAAAAGATACTTCATTTACAGTTGGTTTGGTTGTTGTTACACTCCGGTGCAATTCGTGATCGTGTTGATAATGATGGAAAAAAGCCGATTGATATTTGTCACCCTGAATATAGTGGAATAAGGAGTCTTCTGTCTACTGCTGTCGTACCAGAATTATATTCATTGGACGAGTCACCTTCTTTGAGCCCGTCTAGTCCAACTCACGCAGTAAGAAATTTCCTTGCAGTTACCACTTCCTCAATTTTAAGGTGTCATATAAACTCAGTTGAACTTGTGGAAGTTGGAATGTAATTGTGATATAGCTGAATATATGCACAGAATCATTATTGTTCAACAGTAATTTGCTACCACTTGGTTACATATCTTCATATGAAATACATAGAAATGTAAATTGGAATCTTGATGCTAGGTTAAGGAGAACTGGTCAATTTGCTGTGTTTTATTTTAATGAGATGAAATGACATTATGTGAGAAACATAGGTTAGGAGATGAGAAAAAGGGATTGGGAGAAAAAGCGCTTGATAGATAGTAGGCTTCAAGATTCTGATATCGAATAGTTCTAGAGGTATGTCATTCTTCACATGCTAGATAAGCGTATCACATATAAAATTTTCAGCAAAGCTCTTCTCAGATGCTTACGGTAAATGTAATACAGTTCACTCCGGAAAAGCAATGCCTAACATCACCAAATAGTGATGATTCCGTAGCCAGTGCAGAAACTTTTCCGAGAGAAAGAAATACAGGAATCAGTGAGGAGCTGCGAATGCAATTGCAAGGTTAATTTGTAGACTTGTCTTTTAGAAAAACTTCTTAAACAACTTACCCGAACATTATTATGCTTATTTTTGTACCCAATATGGATTTCATTAGCAGAGGAAATGAGTAAGTTATGACTTGTATAAATCAAATTGAACTGTTTGATTTGATATATAGTAGTCTACATTAATTCAAAAGTACTTGCTGTGCTGCCTTATCAATATTTATTCTTTTCTCAACATTAATACTAACAAAATACGAACCACAGTGATTGATTGCATACCATGAATATTTTTTTATAATTAGCAAATTAACATATCTTCTTGTCCTTTCGTGTTGTTGGATATACTATTTATTATCAAAGGATAACTGTTTTTCCGCTGACGTTCATGAATATATATCTGTGATTGTTTTCTTCAACAGTGATTTTTTTAGGGACATGTAGCCAAACGCTTAGTGGAGGAGAGGATATGGACAGGAATACAAAGGTTTTATATTTTCATCACCTTTTTTTTATTTTTCTATAGCATTTTCTTTGCTTTTTTTGTTTTGATGCTCTCGGTTTGAACAAAATTAGAGACAGTGGCTAATTGTTTTATTAAACACAAAGCTTCCAAAAATCAAATTGTTTTAGTATTTAAGTTGTAATTTAGTGGTTAATTTTCAGGTTCCCGATTTTGATAGTGTGGTATCAAGAGATGAAGAAGTGAAAGCTGTAATTCATCATGGTTTTAACGAGATGTTAGTAGTTCATATTTATTTTTATGTATGTTTAACGAACTTTAATATGTTTATTAGAGCTGTGGAGTATTATTTGTTATTTGAGTTTTTTGATAAATTAAATCGCAGTTTACAATGAAAATAGTACTGTTTGTAGCGATCCCCCATTTTCCATGCAGCGTTCATTATGGCCTGAAGAAAGAAGTGAAACATTGAAAAGTGTTGGATTGCGTACTGATTCTTCACCGTACGAATTTGACCATGATTTAACATCATCGCATGTCTTATTTGAGAATACTTGCTTTGGAATAAGTGAATCAAAGGAAACGGAAATTCGCCATATTGGACATGTACGTACACATACTGAACGTTTTTCTCCTCAGTATACATCCCAAAAATCGACCTATAATGAAAAGCGTAAGCAAAGGTGCATACTTCTGGCCAATTTTATCTTATACTAAGACATGTTTTGTAAGACTACATCAAATGAAGTTTTTCTCTGTCCATTTCGATTAGAAATATAATTCAGCACTTTGCATCACCTAATCCACTCTCTATTATCTTCTAACATTTATTCAACATCTGATCAATAGCTTCAACGTTTCTACTTTGGGATGCGCTCAAGATTGCTGAGTTTTTCTATTGTCAGCATCAAGATTTTCATTTTTCGGTTAGCCATCTTTTTCTCTGTTGTAGAGGTCGAAGACGAGGACAAGGCATCTCTACAACTGCAGGCTCTGCAGTTATTACAGCTCAGGCATCTCAAGCCAATGATGTGTATGAATTTCGCAGCAGCCCTGAATCCGATGTAGGTGTGAATGTGAGCTTTTTATTGTCTTGATCATATTTTTAAAAGAAGGGTTTCGTATATAAACTTTTCAGTTTGAGAATAACAGTAAGTTTTAATTAAAAATATAGAGAGAAAAGAAATGATCAGATCGAGTTAAGATACCTAAATGCAATATGCCTGAAAGTATGAATAATGTTGGACTGGTGAGATGGATTTTAACAAATTATGAATAGAAGTAAATTTGGATAACATTATCTGTATTGAGGGTGGCAGTGAAAGGTGGAGGGTAGGAGGAAAACGGGTAGTTAAGCAGATTAACACGCCATATTGTCCTGTTGGTGACCTCAATGTCTCTCTAGCGTTTGTTACAACTACCAACCTTTTGATATTTCGTTTTAACGATTCATCGTCGTGCACTACTATCGCAAACCAGCTGCATGATTGATTTCATGCGCATCACGATTTACTTTTTATTGAATATTATTGCACTTGTTTGTTATTACTTTGCCAAGAATTGATTGGCGGGAATCTGCAGTGCACACTTTTCAACACTGATTTTGATCTCAGAAAAAGCAACTGGCTACGGATATGACTTATTAATCTTGGTTTTCCAGCAAATAGTTGTGCTTTCACGGTATTCGCCATTGCTAGAACTAGTGGTATAATTGACAAGTGGCAAATAGCGGTGAAACGTGTTTCGCAAGAAATTTTTGCAAACCCAGATAGCGCTATGTCAGTTTGATCAGTTTAAGTTCCCTTCATACTCTACCAGCGAATGATAATAGTAAAGAAGTCATAGAAATAGTAGGAGCATAAACAACTATTATTTTCGTGATTCATCAGAACGGCTTGCATTATCATTTACACATGGAAATCCGCAGAATTTTAATTCGTTCCATTACAAAACTCATATAAAATATTACAACGAATCGATTGCGAAAATAAAATGAAATGTAGTATACGTAGAATGGAAAGGAATTACACTCTTGAGATGTTTATATATGTTGCTTATACATTTTTTTTTAGTTTGGCTGTTCAATTTAATCAGTTATGTGTAAGATTTTCTGTATAATTAAATTTTAGAAAACAGGATCTGCTGAAGATATGGAGCGAGAACTGAGCGAATCGCCGAGTCTGAAAAAACAACGATTTAGTCAGTCTGGAACCACCAATGTGGCCTCTTTCACTTCGACTACAGCTTCGTCTCAAACAAGTATTTTATTTTGTGCATGATACTACTGCTTACTTATATTGAATTTTATCAAATACATCAAAAATTTAGAAGAAATTTTTGTAATATAGTTTGGAAAAAACTGAATTTTATTAATATTAGGTACTACACAAGAAAGCATATCCATACAGGAAAAAGAAGAAGCTTTGGATATAATATCAAATTTATCTGATCTGACGGATGAAAAAGCTAATGCAACAGTTGGTCGTAAGGTAACCGCTTAAATCATAGTTTTGTCTATGTTTGATAGTCTTTTATCATACAAAGTAGTGCATTCATTAATCTGATATATAAATTTTAAAATTCACAAAGAAACGTTTTTTATTACGGTGAATGGAGAAGTTTCTGTAATCGAGGAAAAAGATAAATAGATAATTCAGATTTCAAGAAATTTTGGTACTTTGATCTTTTACTGTTGCAAAATATAATTTTGCAACAGTAAGCGGATATGTGGCACGCATTGTTAGTTGAATTTGAGTAGAAGAAAAGTTCTTATTTCTCTCAGCGTCTCTTATCTTCCAAATCAAACTGTTTTTAACAATTCTTTCTATCGCATATCCCTCTCCGAATGAGAAATAAAGTACGATATTGTTTATTTTTGAAAGCAACGTGTACCTTTGTTTTCTGAAGAAGAATTAGAATTGCATGAATATCAATGCATAATATACTTCAAAAAATCATACTCTTGTGATCTTATTAATTAATTCAGGTACCTCCGCTTCGGATATCCTTACCCCGTACACCCACCGAAGATGGTATAGTGATAGCAAGTGCTACGGATGATCTGACATTAGTTGCGACGAATGCTGTAAGACGAAATACTAGAAGTGCCAAAAGTCTTACTCGGAGGCATCAGAGCCCTGAACCAAGTACCAGCAGTACTTATGATGAAAGTATACAACGAGTTACAAGGTTTGAACTTAGCTGATGTCTACTATTAAATGAAGCGCAAGAATTGGTTATAAATAGTATCGCTCGTTTCAAACAAAATATCAAAAATACCAATCACTTTCTGGTTATGAGCTAGTTTCTATGAAGTGTTACAATAACTGTAACATAACAACTTGCAACAAGATTGGCGAAACATTTGTAGAAGCAAACTTCGACAGTCCGGAAAACAACTTAGAGATCATCCTGCAGTCAGTTATGAAACATCAGCGAAGAGAAAATCAAATAGTTGGCGCCGTAGTTCCACAACTACTGTATCACCAATGCTCCCGTCGTCAGCAGCAACTTCCGATGAACAGACCACTTCTAGCAATGATGCTGGCGATAGAGCTGATGGTTTATTTTTCGTAGAATGTCAACTTCCTTTTTAATAAAGTTATATATTTGAAGATCACTTACCTTGACCATCATTATTAGCAGTTGCTGCAAATTTTATCCTTACTACACGATCATTTGAACTGAATATGCTAGAGAAATTACAGCCGATGAAAGCTCACATTTGGAAGCAGCTGCACAGAAAGACGATGAAAATACTTTATTAGCTTTGTCATTGATGAAGAAGAACAGCTATGAAGGTTTTCGAAACTTCCGTTCTGTAGTAAGACTTCGAATCGTATCATAAAGAAATTTCAGTTTCGTTATTTTTTGATTGATCACATTTACAATATTCTTGAGCGGAATTGTTTTAGATTGAAGAGCGTTGGGCGAAAGATGCAACTGAAGAGACTGTTATTCCAGAAAGCCCACCTAATTTTAGTAATTATTTGATTGTACAAGGAAATTACACATCGGCAAACAATCCAGACTCTCTGCCAACTCAGGAAGTGAATTATTTTTCGAATATATCTGTCATAATTAGTTAAGTGTTTCTTAATAATAACTGCAGGTGTGAGAACTCTCAGTTTTATAAACAATAAGTTGTCTCGAGCTTGTTCTTTTTTGTCTACAAGAAATAACAGTAACTGTCCTTAATCGAAAACAATAATACTTATCGATAATGCACTGTTGACAGACATAGAAAAGCGCGGACTTCCATTTGGATTTAATTTTGAAAAAATAATTTTTGAAGATTAATTGCTTTTAGAAAATAGATGTTTTGTTTATGGAAAAATTAACGGCAAAACTTCGTACTCTTTACACTGAACAGGAGGAAAGGAGGCGAAATATGCAAATTTATCATCAGGTATTGGTGTTTGTTATTTTATTTCCTCATTCTGTAAGTACTTTGCTGTAAAATTATATTAATTTGTTGTCGATTATTTCAAAAAATTGATTTGTAAGGTAGAGCGTGAACGATTGAGAATGCAAGCAGAAAGCGAAGTAATGCGTATGCTTACACGGAAGGCAAATGAACACCATGAATCCTTTTCAGCAAGTATGGTGCTATTTTTATTTGATTATTGAAGAAGTTTCAGTCTTGGACTTAGATTTCATACCGAATTCTGACTTGTTTCTGTTCTATTTGGAATTCTTTTTAATGAATTATTATCTTAGTGAGGGTGATTCGAGAAACGAATGTATTCAATACCGGTTTTTTGGAAGTGAAGCCAAAAAACTTACCAGTAATGGAAACTTCGGACGTCAAGCTAAAGTATGAAAAGCTAGCAGAAACAATGCGCAGACGACAACAAATGGAGGCAGATGCACTATATGCTGAACAGGTTTCTCATCTGTATGATTTCTGTTTTCTAATTGAATAGGGATTATTGCCTTGTTTTTCTAATCTTTGTTCTATCATCACAACATAGTGAATTAGAAATTAAATTTATAATAAGTTATAGGTATTTATATGGAATGCGGCAGTTCAGAGAAGTGAAGACGCAACACTGTCAAGTTTGAAAAATGCTGTACCACTTGTATCAGTTAGCTCATTGGTTCTAAATTTATGAGAATATTGATGTTAACATTTCTCGTCATCATCATTATTATTTTGGTATTTATATTTTTCCCTTAATTTTCAAAACATCTAAGTGCACAATAGAGAAGTGATTATGTCAGCTGTTTCTTTCTTGATGTGTCGGACTAATGATACTTAAAGATAGTCTGTTAAGAGCATGTGTTTATTAATTTAATAATCCGAAACTGTCAATTGTCATCTTCTTTGGCTCATACTGGGTCAAAGAAGATGACAATTAATAGAAAAAATTCTATAGTAATCGCTCAATGATATAGAATTTTTAGAATCTTGATGAAGTAGTCGCAAATAGAGGTGTGTGAGTATATCATGTGAAATGTGATCTGAACAACTAAATGTCTACAATAACTGATTATTGTTTTTATTCTATTGCTACCGCTTCTTTTTCTCGCAATTTTTATGTGTTAATTATCACTAAGACTTTTTTTCAGAAATGGCATCAGCAGTGTAACACCATGCGCTTATCTTTTGTTTGATAAATGCTGAATTAATCAAGTTAACTTGAAATATTCGGCATCAGAAACGTTATTTTATTTTTCTGATAACTTGCAGAACTAAAAATTGTTGGTATGGATATAATTAGTCATTCCAATTTCTTTGTGGTTCGGGAAAGAAATTTTCATCGCACCATATCTATTTTGATATTTACCCAAGTTGTTCGAATTTTCAGATTGTTAAATTTTACCGTGATTTTTACTGGAAGATAAAATTTTGATCACTGATTCTGTGTCAAAGTGAAATTATTTGATTTAAGATTGCTCTGAAGAGTTGCTATATATTTTGCCGGGATATTTGTTGTTAAGACTACATACATGTGATGGCACGTAAATACAGTTTTTTTATATTCAAAGTTTTTCTTTATGTTCCGTGAAAAAAATATTAATGCGAATAGATTTCTTTAGGATATATAAAACGTAATATAGTTCTGAACATAAAAGCACATAAAATATTGAAGATAATAGTAATTATGTTTTGCTTAGTCGTATTTGACGCTGAATTTAGAGTTCCAGTATTCCACGTAATATTTAGGATGCATTCACCAACATTTACTTTGCATGGTTATGCAAAAATGATATTGCATGCTTATAAATATCCACATCGACCAGTTGTTGGTTTTCTTATTGGAAAAGCCAGGGTAATGGAAATTTTTAAATATAAATATTTCAAAATATAAGTAAATTAGTTGTATGTTCTAGACATTTAAGAAGCAGTTGAGTGGTGGGTTTAATTAACTGTTTTAATGCGTTTTAGGAAATATCACTAATTTTTTGCATCTATAAGTGAGTAGTAGCAGTAAGTTTAATTTATTGTTTAAATTTTTTCTAATGAATTGATAGAAGGTTAAAATTTAGATATTGAAATAACTTTCAAATCAATCGGTTAATGGTAATGCATTCGAATGATGAGTTTGTGATTATGTTTAATATCAAATCTTTTTAGAATAATAGTGAATTGATATGCACTGATGCTATACCCGTGTTACATGAGAGTGCCTCTTTAAGTATGGTTGTGGAAACAGCTTTGATATGTACAGATGATTACACCAAAGATGGTCGTACTCTTGTCGGACTCTATTTTTGCAATCAGTCTCTTTCGGATAATAGGTATATGTAAATTCTTTTAGAGAAAATTAGATGTTTTTTTCATCAAATGCTCACCTTGTATGGAAATGTTACATGAAAATATTTCTGTAAATTTGACTTTAAGGATTCGTTTCAGTCTTGATCCCTATGCAGTGCGAGTAGCTGAAAAAATTGTTTCGAATTATTCAAATACATTCCTCGTTCAGGTGATTCGTTTTTTATTTTGGAGATTTTGTAAGAAATTATAATAAGTTGTAATGGGAGACGAAACTATTTTTTATAATCGTCGAAACTACCGCGAATAATGTTTATTGTTAGATTTTTCTTCACATCTACTTTTGACCAAGCAGTAGCTATTGGTAAAGTAGAATATTTTTGCAAAATAAAGTTATGAAGTTTTCATGCTGAGAATATTCAATTCTAACAAATTGATTTATTCAATAGAATTTACAAAAGTACTTGGAAAGCTATAATAATATCTCAAACATGTATTACAGATTGATAATTCCCTTCTTGGTACAGGATCGTTAGAACCTGCTATTCGAATTTATACGCTGGATAACAAAACGTGGAAGATAAAAAGGTATCCTTATTGCTACTTTTCTCATAAACAAATATAAATGTTTTAATAGTCAAAATTAAGTGAAGCATATTAGATTTTGCAATACTGACTTCTCTTCTATGCATATTATCTAAATGTTGGGAAGTCTGGTGCTTTGGCATTATCACTGGTCTTTTACGTGAGGATAATTTCAGATTCACTATACTGAACGAAGAAACAGTGTTGCCAATCGTTTCCAGTGCTATACAAACGAAATTATATCTCGAAATCATGGATTTTGAAAATCACTTGGATAATCCTATTAATGATCACTGGAATACAGCACTAAATGAGAAGTTAGAACGGTTATCGTGGCGAAATGCTTGCAGTTGATCTCATTCTTATCATAGTCATTCTTTATTTTCCTATTGTTGCTTGGAAGCTAACTTTGTTAGTAATAAGCATAACTATGTAACTTCTACAGGAGATTATAAAAACAAAATTCTGCCACGACTTTTTTATTGACGTAATTTACATTTCTTAAACATTCAGCCAGTTGGATTGCTCAGATGAGCACATCGTTTAGATTTTAAAAAAAAACGAAAATTGAACAGGTCAAGAAATATTGGAACGTATGACAATTCTGATAAACATCGCTCATCAACATGATATATTCAAATGTGCAGATTTTTGTAAAACTCTAAATTCTTACAGTGTTCTTATTTCTTTGTTAAGAAAAATAAGATATTTAACGGAGCCATTCTGATGCAGTCCATCGGTTTCTGTTTGAGAGTTCATTTGCATCAGTGTCACTCCTTACTTTGTTAGGAATAATTTTGAACTGTATGATATGCTGAATATGCTTCGAAAATAATTCACATAAGATAGAGGATTGAAATGCAATTTACTGACATTGGTGAGTTCATCACACACGAAATTCCTTCAAATATGCTAATTTCCACTCTGATCAAGAAATTCATAAATCGATGCTTCGACTGGTTCAGGTGATAGAAATAAGGACTACTAAATGCATTGCTTTTATTCTCCACAAAATGCAAATCAGACTGAAAGATTTTAAGTTGCTTATCTCACGCTGATGAAATGGGATTCATTTTTTGGTGTAAGTGTGCCATTGGTTGGTTTATTCATGCTAAATTATGGCATTTCAAGGATTCTTGAAATTCAGCCACAATTTTATTGAGTTTGATGCTTTGATGATGGCAAACTTGATCTTAAATGTCGTAGCAGTTCTGTTCTAGGGTTCAAAAAATGTTGATAAGCGTATTACGTAGGCCAAAACAGAGAGCGCTGAAGAAGTTAGAAGAATTGCGTTTTATTGCAGAAAATTGTCGACGATCAGTTGCTGGAGAAGAACTTCTTGTGGATAAGCGTTAAGTTATCATATTAACGTCATTGCTAAAAGGTTTCAAACAATGTAATAAAATTTAATTATAGGTAAAGAGTTTTGGATGAAATGCGGCATCATTTTCCCACCACTTTACCCAAATCCAAAACCAATCCCTCAAAATGTTTATGAACGAATGTTCACTTACGGTACCAGGTTTCTTTCCAACATTTTCTATCAAATTCATCATTTTTAATCTTAACCGGTATGATTCAACTTCAACATAGTAATGGCCTTTTTCTTTCAGGGAGAATGATCTATTGCGCATTATATCGAGTTTCCTTCTCTGTCAATTTGTTGGCTTACTATTTTTCATTTCTCTTGCCCTCAAATATTCAGTCTTTCCTAGTCGGTATCAATTTTTTTGCCTTTTTCAATGAACTATCACATTTAATTTTCTGCACAGATGCAATAAATCTTAAAACATAATTTTATAATAATTAGCATCACTGTTCATTGCACTTTATTCCTGCCAGATAACTCAAAAGAATTGAGTGTTTATTGGAATAATTATTTAATGAAATCTTTAATATAAAATGATAAGTTCACTTATAATTTTTATGAGAGATGGTCGGGAATGATTTAATAAATCTCATGATAACTAATTATAGATTAGGAGTGTATGTGAGCATCACTGTGCAATTAATATTGGGTCTGATGATACCATTCCCGTCCATTCGGGCTATCATTCTAATTGCCACAATCAAATTAACGACTAGTCGGCTTCGTTCCATCATTCTTATGCTTATAATTGTGTGGGCTTTTCAAGTTAGTCTTTTTTTCTCTCTCACAAATTTTATTCCATCCCTTCAAATGTGATTCCTTTATACTATTCTACTTTTAATTGTTGCATTTCGAATAAGAAAAAAAAAGATAAAACAGTAAAAGTTGTGATTGCTTTAATGATCTGATAAAATATGAATTGCTTTTGAGATGGATAGTTGATGGAATGATAACTTCTAGATGTTTGTAATCTGCAGATACCAGCAATTAATACAACTCGTAATTTGCAAATGCTCGCAGAATCGGCTGCTTGTGTGAGTGATTCGGCGATTCAAATTGGCAACAAACTTGTTACTGAAGTTAATATGCAAACTAATAAGGTTGTGATTAATTTATTTTTATAACATCTATCAGAATAAATACCATAAATTATGAAGCATTGAAATACTGGATTATTTTCCTTTTCGGAGGAAAATAGCATTATAGACATTTCCTTTTCGGAAATGTCTATAATGCTATTAATAAACTTTAAGAGATTTTTGAACCCTTTTTTCTTTTGTTTCAGCTTTCATTGTCAGGATTAAAAGAACAAAGTCGTTTTTTCGCGAACCATCTTAAAAATTTTTGGAATACCATGCGAAAGTTGCAAAACATTGTCGTTAAGTAAGCATAATTTTTTCCTTTTTAGCTAATATTTCTTGTCAATATTTGTTGTTTAACGAACTTCTTTCTGGTTTTATTTTTAGGTTTAGTAAGCAAACGAAGGATTATTTGGTACAATTGCTTACAGTTAAAGAGTATTGCCAGCGGTTTTTCATTGGTCCCTATTATTTTGTGCGTTTTTAAATATAAGGTCATTAAAAGCAGACGATGTCATCATTTCTAACAAAAGATAAAAATCAGCGATTAATTTTTAGCAGTGAATGTGAGCATTTTCCTACAAAAAATGCATTTTCCAGTGTCTTCGAATTTTTGATGAGAGCGCTCAATATTGTGATCGGCTCACTCTGTATCGTGGATTACCAGTTTGTAAATTCGTGAAGGATATGAGAATGGTCATTTTTTTTTTACTCGCAATGCCTTTTTTTATCATTGATCTTTCAAATGACCGGTACATTTTAGTAAATGGTGACAAGTGTGAATCAGCAAGAAATTATTTCGTAGTACGGAATTTCAAATATTCTACTCACTTGAAAGCAGTGGTGGAATAAGATGGAAAACGAAGAGATTTTGACTCAGTAGTTTACATTCATGTTTCAGATTTGTGATGCAGCAAGATTTGGGGAGCTGGTTTGTGATATTCCGGAGAAGATGAAAGGAAGTTTGAAGTCCGGCTTTCTCTCATTTACGCAGGATAAAATGAAAGCTGCTTTGAACACTGTTATGAATGATTACAATATTAGCTTCCTTGTAGTTCGTAATTTAAACGTCCTAATTTATGATTCATTTCTTCTTTTCTGATCTCTCTATAACTTCTTTGAAAATATAACGTACTTATTAAGTGCCCCATGTAATGCTATGCGGCACGACACATTATAATATTCAAAAATGATATTTAGAAATGTTATTTAAACAGTTCATTTAAATAATATTTCTGATATCACTTTTGGATTTTTTTAGTCCTTCAGCACAACCGAAATACTTTACAATCTTTTTACAGAAAGAGGCGAAAGCTGCAAAAAAATCCTGGGATGAATTGGGAATTTCGTTAAATCATACTATTGAAGGCAATCGTACACAAATGATCCAACTCGAGAAAATGAAGTAAGAAGATAATGTATATTATATAATTATTTCATGTTTTATTTAAATTCAGTATGCTTATTATTACTTAATTTAGGGAAGAATTGGAAAAGATCTTGAATCAATTCAAAATTTTTGTAGATATTTTGGCTACAACGATTAGTTTTATTATTCCCAATTTGATCATTGTAACACTGTTTACGGTAAATATTTAGTCATCACATATTGTTATTTGTTTTTTTTTGCGAGCTAAAGGATTATTTCCTTAAAATGCATTATATTGTATATTGGTGCATGAAATCTCAACAAAATCCTTATATGTGAAAGAAAATCAAAAATCTGCAAATGCTGATATGATTTTTATCAGGCTTTGGTATATGTTGTCAAGTATAAACAAAAGGAGAAAACGGATAATGTGTACATTACGGAAGAGTTTCGAAATATTGATATGATACGGGAGGCACAGGGACAACCTTCTTTACTTCCGCTGTTACCCAAAGAACGCGAAATAGTTAGTGATTCTTGTTTTGATGGGAATATAAAACTTCGATTTTTAATGATAATAAAAGCTGCACTGATGAAATCTTCAGACTTATTCTCACTTAGTAGAGATCGATGATTTAAGTGTATCTTCAAGAAAATGAAAATAAATTTTTGAAAAAGAAATAATTAAATTGAAGTTGAAGGATCGAAAATTATATAAATTGCATCGTTTGTTACAGTATATTGAGGGACTCACATTACATATGACATCAAAGGAGAAGATGAGAATGCTATTTTCGTTTGCGATCACATTGATTGGCGGTTTTCTGCCAACTTTTTTAATACTGCTAGATGTATTTACCTATCAAATGCTTTATTTCACTTACTCATTCCTACAGTCTAATGCTACTCGCACAGACCGACTTGATTTCTACAATCTTAAAGTATGTTCAATTTTTATTTTTACTCTTCTTCCTATCCTCTACGTTCCATATTTTAAATCATTTTATCTTTCAGGCTGCAGGAGAAGGTTTTATGGCGAAACTTTTACAAAGAATTCTTCAAATATTTCATCCAATCACAGGAAGTCAACATAGCGATGATGATTGGAGACAATGTTTCACTGAGCCTAACCCACCTGACTTTCAGCTTATTCGATTAATGATGTTCTTATACTTCATTGCTTTTTTATTGTGCGTTGTACAAGTAAGAATTAATCAATCATTGATCTCTTTCACTTTATTTAAAACAAACATCAAATTGCTTACTAATTATTGCACTGTCTGATATTGAAGTAAAAAAAATTGATTAAGGGATGAGTGTTCCATCATTTCTTTATTTTGTTATCTCCAAAATTCTCGAATAACCACAAAGTCCCATTATTAAAGAGTGCCCAGTTCCCTTAATATATGGAACTCCGTGGTTAATCAATTGATTAAATTTTGGTAAAATATTTGAAGTGATAAATTCCATTTATTCTATTATATGTGAATTTGCAGCGTAAGCAAATCTCATTCTTGTCGTATTTCTAAACTTTCTATATTTTGAAAGCAGCTAGTCATAAGCTTACTAACTGCAAACTCATTATTCCCGGGGACCACGATTTCTAAGGCGTAAAACAAGCACTTAATAATATTTCAAAATTTGAAAGCTCCTGTAGAACTATAGTATTCAGAGAAGATATATGTATGAAATGTAGATAGAAGTTACTTAGACAATCACTGCAAAACATAGTCACTTAAAATGCTGCAAGTTGTGGATGATTGAAAATAAAATGAGAAATGATAGATGAATACGAATTTTTGGCTTTAATTTTTTCGTGGTAGACTTATGGACTTTTTTGGGAACAATGGCAGTATACGAAGTTCAAAGTTCAATTAATTGAAATCATGTAGACGAATATAATGAGAATTCCGATTCTTAGGTATATGTAGTAAGGTGTCGACATTTGATTGCGCAATATTATTGGCCAGAAAGGACAAAACCACGCACTTTATGGTTGTATAACAAAGTTCTCGAAGGTCGCAAAAATATCCTAACACAACTGATAAAAGCTGCCAAAGAAAAGGTTCGCTTTTCATTTTTGCAATCATGAAAAGAACGAAAAGTTAAAAATTTGATTTAAGGAGTTCAAAGAGCAACTTGTTGAAGATGAAATTAGCGGACAAGGAAATCTTGTAAATCGTGGTTTGACAGTACTGAGTGCTGATCAGTACAGATGTTTAAGATGTTTTCGACCAGATCTTAGTATCGCCGATGCAAGGTTAGTTGTCTCATGGGCAATCAAATTTAACGATTTCTACATAACTACGAAAAAAAGAGTCAGTAATGAATTTGAATAATGAATCTAGACAAATAATTTATTTGATTTCAAAGTCTTTTAATTTAATTTTAACGTGTGAATGCTATTAAAAATGGGAAATATAGAAGTAAAGATAAGATGAAAAAAAATCAATGCAAAGAAAGAGTTTCTATTTCAAAAATGCAATTCACATGGAGAACACGACGATAACATTCATTATTTATTACAATTTCAGTAACTCAAGAATATGTCCTAATTGCAACAGTTTATATTGTACTGACTGCTATGCTGTCAAGAAAAAATGCTTAGAATGTGGTGCAAGCTTACAGGTCAGTGAAATACTATATATTCACGACATATCAAAATTGTTTCATGATTTTTTATTTCTCATTCAAGTCTCATATCATTTACTCCCAACCATTTTCAAATATTTTGCAATCTCTTTAGTGTAAAACAACTTGTAAAATTTCGCTCATTAAAGTGAAGTTAGAAATTAGTTTTTAAAACTTGCATAAATTTGTAACTTTGCGCAAAACATAATCATTTCAGGCAGTATTGAACGAAACTGAATTTTACATAGATAGTAGCTGTGAAGAGGATGAACCTGATATTGGTATGGAGGAGATATTCATTCATTTACCTTTTCTTCTTTTCCTGACAATATTTCATGTCAATAGATAATGATATTCCGTATTTCTTTTCTACAAATGTTTCGTTGCAGGAACACCGGAAATTTCATTAGTATAGATTCCGGTGATGC